GTGCATTGAAAAGACTAGTGAACTCCATTTTCATAACGCCGATATCATAACTTCTCTCTTCATAAATAATTCTTTTACCAAGTTGTTGGAGTATATAACCATTAGGATACATAATTGGCTTGAAATCTGCAAGACTCCTACGGTTTGCTTGTAGCAAGGATTCAATCTTAAGCAGTGTCAACTTTTTCAAGTCATTCTCCTGCAACTGCAGTTCTGGGAAAGCATTCTTAAAATTGTTAAAAATTTTGAAATTTTATTCTTAGCAGGTACATTATGTGATTTAAAATAAATATGAAGCCATGAATAGTGATAATAGTTGACAAACCTAGGTTGTTTGCGAGTTGCTTTTACACGTGCAAGATACCATCCGATAAGAAGGACCAGGTTTCATTCCAAACATGAGAAGGTCTGTTTATAGTCTCAAACAGCAGTATCACAACAAATAACTTCCTTAGAAAAAGTCCATATCCCCACAGACTTGCATCTCTAATAACTCCAATGTATTCCCTATCATCCTCCAGGAAACCCATTGCAAAGCATGCATCCCGAAAAGACTCGTATTGTAGTTCCCCCACCTTACAAATGTCTTCATAAGTCTTTGGCCCTCTTACAACAGTGAGCATCATCCTAAGATAAAACAGCTCTCCCGTTGTCAGAGGAACCCAAATCAAGCGGCCAATTGTAAAACCCTTTTTATGTGGCTTCCATGTTCTACTCCTTTTGACGTAGACAAATTTTCTTACAAACTGAGCATAAGTTAAATGTTGTACCTCAGCAAATTGTGAATTTGCAATCAACCATGAAGTGAACATAGATTCTGTTACGCTTGCCTTTTCCAAAATATTTCCCATCCGTTCGAAATCAGTATAGTAGACATGTTTCTAACCTATAAGATGGTAAAACATGCACTCTACTACAGGTTTTCTTCCATGGATGTTGTAAGAAAAGATCCTCCAACACGCCTCACTTGGCGAAACTTACCTACAGTCCAGATACTCCTTAATCTCATCAACTTCGTTCTGTCCACCGGCTAATGAATTTTCTATTGGAACAACAGGAGTTGTGATTCGGTCGAATCCCTTGTGAATGTATTTGAAAAAGGTACTTGATGGAGGTACTTTGGTTACACCATTCCATGTTGATGTGAGCCTTGTATTTAAGGAACAATCGTGGGTTATACGGAACAATGTGCCTGTTGTCCAATGAAATTCCTGATTTTATTATTGTATGGGTTGTAGAACCATGTTTGTAAAGTGGTATCCCTTTCTATCAACAATGGTTTCTTTGTTGAATTTCTTGGGGGAAAACTTGGAGCATCTTTTATTCTTCATGCAAGTGGAAGTGATCTTGGCTAAACCACAAAGACCGTGCATCATGTGTGATTTTACCAATTGATATCATTTTGGATGCTGAACCAGACTTGGAATTTCGGCAAATATAATATTGTCAAAGTGAGGCGGTATTGGATACTTACTTTGAGGATGTAAGAATATTAGAATGTGTGCATGCAGCAATCCCCTTTTTTGGAATTCTATTGTATGCATGACCGCATAAGATAAACATGAAGTGTTAATTCAAACAGCAAGTGCATTTCAATTTCAAAGGCATTGTGTGAAACAAACATCACCTACGTGCCAAAACTTTACCAAGCACATGACGTTTTTTTAGGTCTATCATGAGTTTGTTGAATTTGATTTTGAAAACCTTCGAAACAATATCAGGTTTGTCATGTGGTTTAAGATTATCTTTGGACAGCAGCTGTGTAATCTCAAGCCATTTGGGATTGCACGTAAACATAATAAATAAATCAAGAAAGCCAATTGCACTGGAGATAGCCATGCCATCAAAGTACAGCTGATCCATGTAACATTTCCCACCTATAAATAACGAAGGAAAAATAACTCTTTTGTCGCCTTTGTCTACCTGGCCCTGATGTGAACGACCATGGATGTCAGTAAGGGACTTATACTTTTCGGCACGTAGTTTAGATTGGTTTTTCCTCAACCAATTGAGACGCTCAATTTCCACCATGGTGTAACCATCTACTAGAATTTGTTGGAATAGTCTTCTAGAATGCAGCAGGGTTTTGGCCTCATCCGTTCGTTCGTGCAACCGAAAACAAAGCCAATCTTTGATTGATTGACGGTTTTGTTTTGTAACAACCTTCTAGTGTATAAATTTGTGGAGTATGTTAGGCATGTATCCATCTTCACCATAAGGAAAAATCAAGGGGTATTGATACGTCAAGTAACTTGGATGGAATTCGTCAATCCTCTGTAGTTGACCATCACGTTGTTGTACTATTATGTCTTTTTTAGACGCAGAATCTATATCCCCGACTATCAGAGCTGCAACTTCAGACACAGCGGGGCAGTTATACACGCGACCGTCAGTGGTCTTTCTGAGATAAGCCTTAATTTCAGATCTTGAAAAGTGTTATTCCTCAACATGTCTCTTGCTATTCGAAAAGCTTTTGCATGGGGGTTACTCTCATCTAACTTGAGCTTCAGAGTATTAACTATAGACCTGTCAATGTGTTTATTGTCCCTGTAAAAAAAAAGTGGAAATTTGAAGCATCAACATTAAAAGGTACGGAAATGGTGCAATAGTAGGAACCATGAATAAGCATGTTACTTGAAACACTCCATTTTGTTGTCAACTTCGTTGTCAGTGTCGTGGATATACAGTTGTGCATACTTTAGTGATTGTCCTAATTCAGGCAACATTGCCCCTATTCGGTGGCATGTTTGACCATGTAGCCGCAGAGTAGGTGGACCTCGCCCTCCCGCCGCATTGGCTGTATCAATTTCATGTCAGGAGATGTGAACGAAAACATTGCGTTATAGGTTCGAATGTTGTTTTGCAAATTCTTAGCATGGTGGCGGGTATGATCAAAGAGAAGTTTGTGTAATTGAGGCGGAGGCGGCTAAAGCAGTGGAAGCACAATTTTTTCTCCCTTGCAACACGGTGTGAACTTTGGAACAGTTGAGTGTTTTGACCTTCCTATTCGTTCTTGATACAACATACAGGTGCAACAATGTTGGCATTCCCATACAGGCCCCAATGTCATAATAAACTATAAATGAAGAAAATAGTACAAGTTACATAACTACAACTAGGGCTGGAAACGAGTCGAGTCGAGTCGAACTCACCTCAGCTCGGCTCGACTCGTTAAGAATTTTTCGAATTCGAGTTCGAGTTCGAGTTCGACACGAACTTTTTTTTAAGCTCAAACTCGACTCGTTATAAGTTCACGAACAGTTCGGTTCGACTCGTTAGGTTCATCTCATTAGGTTCAGCTCACATGGTTCACGAACTTAAAAACTATTTTTTTAAATATATATATATATATATATATATATATATATATATATATATATATATATATATATATATATATATATATATTTTAGTATATTTGACATTTTAAATAAATATATATTTTTTTAATAAAATATTAAAATAAAATAAAAGTTATCATATTGAAATTTAACTTTATCTTCGAAATCTACTAATTCAAAACCTACACAACTTTCAAGAGATACATTTGAGAGTCTAATTCAAAAACTACTAAATTGAAGATTAAATTTGTCTAAGATTTGAAGTAAATATTTAAACCTAATCTTAAAGACAGTATAATTCTTTTCATATGTAATCGAGTTGACTCATGAACCTAACGAGTCAAACTATGTATAGTTCAAGTTCAACTCATTTAGTTAACGAACTTAATTTTTCGCTCATACTCAACTCATTTGGTTCATGAACCTAATTCAACGATTTAATTGTCGAGTCGAATTCCGAACTATCTTCGAGTTGGTTTGGTTCATTGTCAGCCCTAACTACAAAATTTAAGATTAGCATTTAACAATATGTAACCATAATACATTCATCATGATATCAATAACGTCAACTTATGTATAAAGTGTATACTTGGATCGTAAGAATTTCCTAATAGGAATGAGTTAAGCTTGTTGTCGTCATCTGAGTTGTTTTCAAAGTCATCCCCTACGTCAGAGTTTAGGGAATCGTCGGTATTAGATGTTGAAGTTGTCACAATGTTTGAATGTTGAGGTTGTAGTCCTTCCAAAATAGAAGCAGGTCTTAGTAGAGTTATATGTTCTAATGCAATTATATCGAATGTCATAAGAATTTTGTGATTTTATTGTTATATTAGTTGAAATATTAGAATTCTTTTTTTAAACATTACTACCTAATTTTTTTATTATACTCTCCTTATGATCAATGTAAAAAAAATTGTGCAAATTATAAAATAATTTTAATAAATTATATATCTTTGAATGTGAGAAATCAAGAATATTATTATTTGTCTTTAATTTATTTATCCAATATAATAGAAAAAATACAGAATGGAAAATAAAATTAAAAATATATATCAAAATTTATTTTCTTTAATTTTTATAATTAAAAAATAATTGCAAGAAAAAATATTATATAAATTTTATGAAAATAATATATATTAAAATTAATAAGTAATTATTAAATTAATATTTATATTTGTCAAAATTTGAACTCGTGATTTTTTAATAATGACGATATGACACAAATTATATTGAATGTCAACATCGAAGTGTTCTAATTTAATATATATAATAGATAATAGATGTGTCTAACTTGAAAAGAGTATGTAATGTAACGAAATGAAATTAACAAAATCTTATTTGAATGTTGCGTTATATATAATTCTCAAAAATAAAGATGCCTGAACTGGAAAATAAAGTACTCTTACTACATAACAGCAATTTTTCTATATACTTCACAAAATTTGACAATGAAATATACACTTACACTAAAAAGTCTCTTCTTGCAGTCATGAAAAAACCTCTTGATTATAAAACTGGAAGAAGAAATGCTTACATGCACACCCATACATGCATTATTATACATATATACATACACTGAAAGATATCACTATTATGCATTTGTTGATAATATCTTTGAAATATGCACACCCCACCAACAGTATCTCAGATCTGCGTCTTCTACCTTCTCCCAGTCGCACCAATGCGCGGTTTGCCCTTGACCTCAGATTCCTGTCACTCACATGAACATATCAATAGCAGATGATAGAAGGAAGGATATTCTTTTAGACATGAAGTCCAGATGATATATAGCTATAATATATCAGTCAATAGATAACCAAAACTAACAAAAAATGCCTGCCATCATAAAAAGATGCACATCTTTCTTTTTACTAAAGCAAAATACATTGTTTACTAGTAAACATAGAAAAATTATGCATTTTCCCAACCAATATCAAAATGTCAGAAAAAAGATCACTAGTCCTATCTAAAAGTTAAGACTTGAGTATATTCAGTTGCCTACGGCTTACTAATACTAACTATCATTTTTATCTCTCCAATTATCATCATCCACAAAAGTATAACTTCAGACTCAAGTTCATCACGAAACAAATTTGCTAATTAAAGAAGACCACCACCACTGTTAAACAATGTTGTAAATGGCAGATGACAATTTATGGAAGATTGAAAAAATCCGGCATAAAAATGTGGGATTGTGCCCTTTGGCGCCACCATGGTGGCTGGGACTTCACAAATAGTGGCCGTTCTGCCACGGGGCCACCATGGCCACTATTTAACAGCACTTGTGTTAGCTGGATCATATACATCTACACCAATATCCAACAACCTTGCGTTGCCTCTCCCGTGGTATGTCCCTTATCTTTCTTAATTAAAAGTCAAATGTTGAAACACACAACCCAAATTGTTATTCATTTAAATAATGTAATCCAATTCTTCTCACCCGTGATGAAGAATAAAACAACAAAAGAACTTTTAAGACAAGTTTCTGGAGTTGTATTCCATATCGGGTAAAACAGCAATATTTTAGCAATTTTGGAGTATAAGGGCTTCATAGAAGCAGCCAAACCAAATACCTGTGGCAAGTGCAGGAAAATGTTGGTCTTTGCTGTTGCCGGATTATGATTTTCTGCCCCTTTACTCCAGTCATAGCAGACCTACAAGATATTGGTAGATCAGTTCCACATGTTTTAACCATATAAATAATAGAAATACTTCTATTAATAAGGTAACTCAAATACTACCCTTTTGAATTTAAAATCCTTTTATTGGCAAATTATGAACTACAATTAGAAAGTATTTTTATATTGCAAGATCAATATCATAAAAGAGAACAAATTTGACATCCCATGAAAGACTAACAAGTTCTATTATGGATCAATTGAAAGATCGTCTAATCACGGGGTAGAAGAAAACCTAATTGCCCAAGAAACTTTAAGCGAATCCTGTTATCAAAGACATTTCTAATTGCTTTTAATGAAATTTTAATATTTAATAAATGTGAATAAGGGTTTGTTCCTAGAATAAGGGTTTGTTTCTAGAATAAAGGAAACAAATTAGAAATTGACTTGTTCTCATTAAAATGTAATTATTTAGTGTAATTACCAATATAGCCCTGTAACCTCTATATATACGAGAAATAATAATGAGAAAAGCATCAAGCCAAGAATTCTTGACATGGTATCAGAGCCTGGTTGATCAAACCTGTGATTTTCTGGTTCTGATCGTTTTTTTTTCTGTCTGAGACAATATCTTGATCGCTAATTTGTTTCGTGCAGATGCCATCGTGATTCTGGGGTTAGGGCTTCAGTTTGTTTTGCAATCCTTTCTCGTGATTCTGGGTCGTGTTTAGATTTTTTTTCGGTTGCAATTTTGGTTTTGTGGTTCTTGGATGTTCTTGGTTTGAGATTCTGGATCGTGATTATGTTCTTCTGGTTCTGCGCTCCTTCCAACTAACGGTTGCACTGTTTGTGGATTGGGGGTCTGTACTGTTCGTGGCTTGTTATACTACTGTTCGTGGATTGTTTGCTGTTGCTGACGGTGGATTGTTATACTACTGTTCATAGCTAATTTTGTTTGTTAACAAGACGGTGAATTGTTATATTATAATAATTATTATTATTATTATTACTATAATCTATTAATTAGTGAGGTTGTTATTATAATAATAATAAGTATTATAATAATAATTATTATTATAGTAATACATCAATAGTGAGGTTGAATCTAATTACAACATAATTTCAATGGCTTACGAAAAAGAAAGAGATAACTTCTGTGTTCGTTTCACCGACAAGAATTATTCGGCTTGGGAATTTCAATTCAAGATGTATGTTAGAGGAAAGGGATTATGGAGTCACTTAGATGGTGTTTCTGAGGCCCCGACGGATAAAACTGCTTCAGATGTATGGGAAACTCAAGATGTTCAAATCATCACTTGGATTCTCAATAGTATTGATCCTCAGATGATAAATAATTTGCGCTCCTTTTCAACTGCTCAAGAAATATGGAATTATCTGAAGCGCATTTACAACCAGGACAATTCGGCAAAACGTTTTCAATTGGAGCTAGACATAGCCAACTACAAACAAGGTGACCTACCTATTCAAGAATACTATTCTGGTTTTCTGAATCTCTGGACAGAACACTCTGCTATTATACATGCTAATGTTCCCAAAACCTCTCTCACTGCTGTTCAAGAGGTCTACGACACAAGTAGGCGAGATCAATTTCTCATGAAACTTCGTCCAGAATTCGAGATTGTTAGAGGCGCTTTGCTCAATAGGAATCCTGTTCCTTCTTTGGATACTTGTGTCGGTGAACTTCTAAGGGAGGAACAACGTCTACTTACGCAAGGAACCATGTCTCATGATGCTGTTAGTTCCGAACCTGTGGCAATTGCATATGCTGCTCAAAGTAGAGGAAAGGGTCGTGATATGCGACAAGTTCAATGTTTTTCTTGCAAACAATTTGGACATGTAGCTCGCAATTGCAGTAAGAAGTTTTGCAACTATTGCAAACAACAGGGTCATATCATCTCTGACTGTCCCACACGTCCTCCCCGACCAGTACAACGTCCAACTCAAGCATTCCATGCCACTACCAACTCTGAAGTTGGTCCTCTCAGTACTGGTACCGGTAGTGTTCTACAACCTGAAATGATTCACCAAATGGTACTTTCTGCTCTTTCAGCCTTGGGAATTCAGGGTAAGTCTTCTAATAATTCTCAATCATGATTTCTTGATTCTGGTGCATCCAATCACATGACGGGTTCCTCTAAATACTTACAAAATGTACATTCCTATAATGGTAATCAGCAAATTCAAATTGCTGATGGTAATAAACTTTCTATCACTGATGTTGGTGACATAGACTCAAACTTTCGTGACGTGCTTGTATTACCCGGACTTGCTTCCAACTTATTGTCGGTTGGTCAATTGGTGGATAACAATTGTAATGTTAGTTTTTCTCGTGTTGGTTGTCTTGTGCAGGAGCAGGTGTCGGGAAAGGTGATCGCGAAGGGGCCTAAAGTGGGAAGATTGTTTCCACTCCAGTTTAGTTCTAGTCATTTATCCTTTGCATGTAATACTGTTTTGAACTCTTATGAGGATTGGCATAGAAAATTAGGCCATCCAAATTCTGTTGTTTTGTCTCATTTATTTAAAACTGGTTTGTTGGGAAATAAACATGCGTGTACTACTCCTATTTCATGTTCTGTTTGCAAATTGGCTAAAAGTAAAATCCTCCCTTTTCCGTCAGGCGCTCATCGTGCTTCTACTTGTTTTGAGATGATTCATAGTGATGTGTGGGGAATGTCTCCTGCAACATCTCATGCTCACTATAAATATTTTGTCACATTTATTGATGATTACAGCCGCTTTACTTGGATATATTTTCTTAGATCTAAGTCTGAAGTGTTTTCTATGTTTCAGAAGTTTTTGACATATGTTGAAAATCAATTTCAAGCAAGTGTTAAAATTTTTCGATCTGACTCGGGAGGTGAGTATATGTCTCATGCATTTCAGGAATACCTTCAACAAAAAGGGATCTTGTCTCAACGGTCTTGTCCCAATACCCCTCAACAAAACGGGATGGCAGAGCGAAAGAATCGTCATTTGCTTGATGTAACACGCACATTACTTCTTCAAGCTTCTGTGCCATCCCGATTTTGGGTTGAGGCTCTTTCCACAGCCGTATTCTTGATCAATCGTATTCCTTCTACGGTTATTGATTTTGATTCTCCCTTCTTTCGCCTTTTTAAAATTCAGCCTAGTTATAATGATTTACATATTTTTGGATGTGTTTGTTTTGTGCACTTACCTCCATTTGAAAGACATAAGCTTGGAGCACAGTCTGTTCAATGTGCGTTTATGGGGTATAGTCACTCACATAAGGGATTTGTGTGTTATGATGTCACTAACCATCGTTTTCGCATTTCTAGGAATGTGACATTTTTTGATAATCAGTTTATGTTTCCATGCGTTTCTCCTGTCATGAATGATATTGTTACTCTTTCTAAGTTCTCTATTATGCCTCAATCTATAGAGCGTTATAAACCAGGTCATGTATATGTCAGAAAACACAAACAGCAGGTTCCCACACCCCTTCCCGACGCTGAACCGCCACCTAATCCTGTAACGGTTGAACCACGACGTTCTGTTCGAATATCTCGAGCACCAGACAGATATTCACCAGACAGGTATGATTCAGCACATACTTCTTTGACTGCCACCCTCTCTGGCATATCTATTCCTACTTGTTATTCACAGGCTGTTAAAGATGTACGTTGGATAAAAGCAATGAATGAGGAACTTCAAGCTCTTCAAGAGAATTTCACATGGGATATTGTCTCTTGTCCTCCAGATGTCAAACCCATTGGCTGCAAATGGGTGTATTCTGTGAAATTGAATTCGGATGGGTCCCTCAACCGTTTCAAGGCTCGCTTGGTTGCCTTAGGAAACAAGCAGGAATATGGAATTGATTATGATGAGACATTTGCACCGGTTGCTAAAATGACATTCGTTCGTACGGTACTCTCTATAGCTGCTTCTAACGGGTGGGCTCTTTATCAATTAGATGTGAAAAATGCTTTTCTTCATGGTGACCTCGCGGAAGACATTTATATGACTCCTCCTCAAGGTTTATTTTCATCATCTAAGGGTGTGTGCAAGCTTAAACGCTCCTTATACGGTTTGAAACAAGCACCTAGAGCATGGTATGAAAAATTCCGCTCCACTCTACTTGGGTTCTCCTTTACTCAGAGTCAGTATGATTCTTCTCTATTTATTCATAGAACGTCTACTGGAATTGTCCTACTTCTTCTGTATGTTGATGATATGATTATTACTGGTTCTGATCATGCTTCCATTCAAAGCCTTAAACAGCAGTTACAAGCAGCGTTTCATATGAAAGATCTTGGTAATTTGCATTATTTTCTTGGTCTTGAGGTTCATTCTACACCCAAGGGCATATTCCTCCATCAACACAAGTATGCCACAGATTTAATTTCCATGGCTGGTCTCCAATCGGCTAATCCAGTGGATACTCCGCTTGAGGTTAATGTTAAATATCATCGTGATGATGGTGATCTGTTGCCTGATCCCTTATTGTATCGGCAACTCGTGGGTAGCCTTAATTACTTGACTATTACTCGCCCTGACATATCGTTTGCTGTTCAACAAGTCAATTCATGCACTCTCCTCGCCACCTTCACTTGGCAGCAGTTCGTCGTATAATTCGTTACTTGAAGGGAAGCTTTCATCGTGGTTTATTCTTTCCTAGTGGAGTTGCTCCTAAATTGAGTGCTTATAGTGATGCAGATTGGGCAGGGTGTCCTGATACTCGACGATCTGTCACTGGTTGGTGCATGTTTCTTGGCTCTTCATTGATCTCATGGAAAAGTAAGAAACAAGCGAGAGTCTCTAAATCTTCTACTGAATCTGAGTATCGTGCCATGTCTGCTGCTTGTTCTGAAATAATTTGGCTTCGTGGTCTTTTGGCTGAACTTGGATTTCCTCAAATAGAGCCAACTTCGCTTTATGCTGACAATACAAGTGCCATCCAAATTGTTGCGAATCCTGTTTTTCATGAATGCACCAAACATATTGAAGTTGACTGTCACTCAATTCGTGATGCTTATGATGACCGAATCATATCACTTCCTCATGTCAGTACTCAGTTGCAGATTGCAGATATTCTTACCAAGGCTGTTCCGCGTCCACGTCATCAGTTTCTTGTTAGCAAATTGATGCTTATTGACAAGCAGCATCAATTTGAGGGGGGATGTGAATAAGGGTTTGTTCCTAGAATAAGGGTTTGTTTCTAGAATAAAGGAAACAAATTAGAAATTGACTTGTTCTCATTAAAATGTAATTATTTAGTGTAATTACCAATATAGCCCTGTAACCTCTATATATACGAGAAATAATAATGAGAAAAACATCAAGCCAAGAATTCTTGACAATAAAACCTAATGGTTTTGATTGATAAATGCAGTTGAACCACAACTTAGTGACTAGCTTTAACTATAATACATGAAATTTGGAAAAATTTAACTCAGATGAGTATAATAGTGCATCTTAATCTCTCATCTTCTATCTATTCAGGTTCCATTAGTTACAGCAAGCAAGTAAATGAAACTTAGTGTCTCCACTCTCCCCCTCCTCAAAATAAAAGAAAGAAATGAAACTGCATTTTGCAAAGATATGTTCTATGCATGTAATGCTTGGGAAGTAAAAACTGTGATGCTTCTGAATTCTCAAAGCAAATTCATGTACAAATATGAGATTTCTGACTCTTCTTTCGCGGTTTCTTTTTAAATCTGACAAATTTTCTCCCCTTTCTAATAGTATGAGATGCAATAAATTAGATGGTTATAGTTGGAAGAGCGGAGGCTTGGCTTAAAAGGTAGGAGAGATAGAAGGGAAATGCGTGGAGATTTGTTAGGGTTGATATTTGTAAATATAGTGTTAAGAATATTTGTATATAGAATAGTCTAAATCTCTGAAGGATCGGAGTTCGGGACGGACGATTGGCGTCGGATATGAGTCTCAAGGCCTTTATTACCTCTCATTGTCATCTCAGACATGCTCAGTCAAGATTCTCCTCTCACTATCCATGCTCAGTTAGGTCATCCCAGTCTTTCCAAATTACATATGTTGGTGTCAAATTTATCGAAAGTATCTAATTTACATTGTGAGTCGTGTCAGTTAGGGAAACACACTCGTAGTCAATTTCCCAATCGAGTCAACAAACAAGCTTCGTCCCCTTTTGCTTTAGTTCACACGATATTTGGGGTCCCTCGCGTACTGTCTCTACTCTTGAGTCTAGATATTTTGTCACTTTTATTGATGATTTTTCATGTTGCACGGGGTTATTTTTAATAAAGAATAGATCTTAATTGTTTTCTATTTTTGAACAATTTATCGAAAAATAAGAACTCAATTCGGTGTGTCTATCCGTACCTTAAGTGGCAATGCCCGTGAATATTTATCCCAACAATTTCAAAATTTTATGTCACACAATGGTATTCTCCATCAAATATCTTGCCCTCACACACCTCAACAAAACGGTGTAGGCGAACGCAGAAATCGACATCTCGTAGAAACCACTCAGACCCTACTTCTCCATAGTAATGTTCCACTTCGGTTTTGGGGGGATGCTGTGCTAACGGCATGTTACCTTATAAATCGCATGCCCTCATCTGCCCTTAATAATAAAATCCCTCATTCAATCCTTTTTCCCAATTCTCCACTTCACCCAATTCCTCCCCGAGTCTTCGGGTTCACATGTTTTGTACACAATCTCTCCCCTAATTTTGATAAACTATCAGTTCGATCACTAAAGTGTGTCTTTCTTGGTTATCATCGATCCCAAAAAGGTTATCGTTGTTATTCACATACTCTACAACGATACTTCATATCGGCCGATGTTACCTTCTTCGAGTCTGTTTCATATTTCGAGTCCAGCCAAGCAACTCCGGAACCCCTTCAGAAAAGTATTCTCACACCTCTTCCGGAAGCCCCATCTGCCATTGTCCCCCATCATTCTAGAGAACATAGCCCACTAGATAGGCCTACAGTTGAGCCCCCCACTTCTCGCCCACTTCAAACATATCAGCGTCGTCAACCAATGTCTGTCGTACCTGTTCCTTAGGTCGTATCTGTTCCTGAGGTCGTACCTGTTCCTGAGGTCATTGCAGACTCTCCTCCGACGCTCTCGCCATCACCGGATCCGATCCTGCCACCTAAGTCCGATCTTCCGATTGCCCTTGGAAAAGGTATACGTCAAACACGAAATCCTTCTCCTCATTATATTGATTTATGTTATCATCGTCTTTCTCCTTTGCAGTATACTTGTTTGTCTTCTTTGTCTTCTGTTTCTATTCCTCAAAATTCAAGTGAAGCATTATCTCACCCTGAACGGAGACAAGCAATGATTGATGAAATGTGTGCTCTTCAAAGCAGTGGTACCTGGGAACTGGTTCCTCGACCCCCTGGAAAATCTTTAGTGAGTTGTCATTGGCTTTATACAGTGAAGGTTGGTCCCGATGATAAGATTGATCGATTTAAAGCTCGCTTGGTAGCCAAAGGATACACTCATATTTTTGGGTAGAATTATAGTGATACCTTCTCATCTGTAGCCAAGATGACATCTGTTAGACTTCTTCTAGCCATTGCAACCATTCGACTTTGGTCTCTTCACCAACTTGACATTAAAAATGCTTTTTGACATGGGGATCTTGAAGAGGAAGTATATATGGAGCAACCATTTGGGTTTATTGCTCAGGGGGAGTCATCGAATATGGTACACAGGTCTCTTTATGGTCTTAAGCAATCTCCGAGAGCTTGGTTTGGCAGATTCAGCACTGTAGTACAACAGTTTGTGGTCCGTAGTGAAGCTGACCATTATGGTTTTTATCGTCACTCACCCCAAGGGTGTATTTATCTTATTGTGTATGTAGATGACATTGTCATAACTGGTAGTGATCAGCAGGGAACACTCCAGTTGAAACAACATCTCTCAAAACAATTTTAGACAAAAGATCTTGGTAAACTCCGTTATTTCTTGGGTATTGAAATAGCTCAATCTAAAGATGGTTTGGTGATTTCTCAGCGGAAATATGCTATGGATATTTTAGAAGAAACAGGTTTGTTAAATGTTAAACCAGTCGATACTCCTATGAATCCAAGTATTAAACTAGTACTCAATCAAGGGGAGCCTCTATCTGACTCAGGAAGGTATAGAAGATTGGTTGAAAAGTTGAATTATCTCACAGTCACTCGTCCGGACATATCTTTTGCAGTCAGTGTGGTAAGCCAGTTCTTAAATTCTCCTTGTCAGGAACACATGAATGTTGTTATTCGAATTCTGAGATACATCAAATGTGCTCCAGGAAAACGTCTTGTGTATGAGGATAAAGGACATACCCAAATAATTGGATACTCCGATGCTGATTAGACAGGGTCACCCATTGATAGACGATCCACCTCTGGTTATTGTGTACTTGTTGGAGGAAACCTTATATCCTGGAAAAGTAAGAAACAAAATGTAGTTGCAAGATCAAGCACCGAGGCAGAGTATAAGGGTCATGGCAACGGCAACATGTGAACTTATTTGGTTAAAACAGTTGCTCAAGGAACTTCAAATTGAAGAAGCAAGACCAATGACACTTATTTGTGATAATCAAGCTGCATTGCATATTGCATCAAATCCAGTCTTCCATAAGAGGACCAAACATATTGAGATAGACTGCCACTTTATCATAGAGAAGATCGAGTCAAGTGACATCGTCACAAGCTTTGTGAACTCTAATGATCAATTGGCAGACGTGTTTACAAAATCCCTGCGAAGTCCCAGAACTAATTATATATGTAACAAGCTTGGTGCATTTGACTTATATGCTCAAACTTGAGGAGAAGTGTTGATATTTATAAATATAGTGTTAAGAATATTTGTATATAGAATAGTCCCACATCGACTATATCATATAATTAGTTGTAATCTCTATATAATAATGTCTCCGTAGTGCTTTTCAAAACGCACGGTTTATTCAAATATATCTTGTATTTTAACCGTTAGCAATTGGAAACTAAGCATTTTTAGGTAGGAAACCCTTTTTTTTCTATCATATGGGGAATGTAATTTTATTCTTTTCTTTGTTGTCGTTCAATATTAATAAAGGAGACATTTTTCCCTTTCTTCTCTGTTTATGGCACCTCTCTTTCTAAATTCACATATTATGCACCTCTCTTTCTAAATTCACATATTATGTCTGTAGGCTCAGAATACCTTCTTTGAGAATTCTGAGCAGTTATCATCATGCATTTTAACATCCTCTCACATACATGCTACGCTCAAGGAATGTTTTTGTAAGGTATCTTCATTACTAATTGAACAAGAATAAAGAAGCAGAAGAAGAAAAATCCCAATTTACAATGCTAGAGTAAAAAAGTATGCATATGATAGAAAAAGTTGCCGAAACTTATGCAGAATGAGATAACGGGCGTACTGCATAGGCATATAGTGAACCATCATTGTTGAAGCTACTGCAAGGAACAGGTTGGCTGCATCTTAACATAGCCTGAAATAAGGGAAGATCATATTAGATAAGCATGTATTATGCCAAAATATCACTATAATATATACGCATCGGTTGGAAACCAAAGGAGTGATAATAGATATTGAAATAACCTTCAGCCTCTGTTTACTATCTTTGTCCCAAAAATTGAAAGCACCATCAGAACCAGCAGTAGCAAATGTGTGGTGTACCTAAAATATAAACAATTGATGGGGGCAAGAATAAGAACAAACTAAAGTGGATATATTTTGTCAGTGATATCTTGTATCCATAATTTCTATACATTTGGGTCTAGAGGTGCCCAAAGAAAGGCAAGTATTTGCTACACAATTTTAAGGAGACCAACAAATAACAGTTAATAGATATATAGCAATCAGCTACGCATTTGCCAAAGCTCAAAACAGAATTGAACTATTGAAGTAAAGAAGTTTGAGTGAAATTCTAAAACTGAAGGTATAGGACGCTAAGATTTGAACAAAAATATCGGAGAACGAGAAGTCATGAGTATTTATTTCTTTTATTACACATCTACATTCCACACAAAAATATCATGAACTGATTTTCAATGTAGCCAATCGATAATTGTATAACCTCCGAAAAATAAAGCAATGGTAATTTCATCAATATATCATATTACTTCTATAGTTCTATTATAAAAATTCAGAGGTGTCGTATGGGATGACGGTGTATCCTACAAGAATAAAGTACATAAGCTTCAAGCTAAGCGAACTCTATTCTTAGTTTCTTTATCATTATAAAAATAATAAAACTATTTTTCTGTAGTGTAAGTAAGTAAACCAGAGACGGGTGCAATTGCCACCGTATAATTTATTAAAAAGAGAAAGATGGTGAAAAGATCATACCTATTACCAAAAAATGCAAAGATAACAGTGCAACTTCAACAATGTAAATTAAACAATATTAATGCAGAAAAGTAAGGCCAAGATGGAATCATAAATCTTACAGGATGGAAGTTTAAAGAATTGACGGAGTATATTTCATTCCCCTCTCTGTGGCACTTGAAAGTGAAGTTTTTAGCCTGCTGACTATCATCTAAATGGTGCACTCCAACTCTTCCTTCTATTGATCCAACCTACAGGACAGCAAGTAGTATCAGTTTCAACAGCCCAAATTGATCGATCTAGATTGCAAATAAATGGTCTTTGTTTAGATATAATTCATGTCACGACACGATATTATGGCATAGTTTGACCTACATAACCAATTCCACCTATTGATTACGGGCTTCAGTTGCTGCTATAGGTTTACAAGTGAAGGCTAACACAGGAAAGAGAATCTGGTAGGCAAAGGGATATTTTTGCAAATTTTTCTCTAAAACTGAGATGCAATATCTATACTTTAGGGAAATACATGAACATTAGTTTCTGTCAAAAGGTGGAAAAGGACAAAAAATGGAGTACACTTCAAAATTTTCATATTTCTTTTAGCATGCTCAAACAGAATTTTTTTTTATCAAGCAAGAGTAATCCACTTGGCAATCTGATGTAACACTAGCAAACCTTAAATTACATCTCTCGTTTAAAAAATGCAAACAAATTTGTGAGCTCTAATAAATTTGAAATTCTCAGAAAAAAAATCTTTATTGATTCATACTATTATTAAATTACATCTCTTTTAAAAAATGCAAACAAATTTGTGAGCTTTAATAAATTTGACTTTCTCAGAAAAAAAATCTTTATTGATTCATACTATTATCAAAACCAACTTAATCGAGATATCATTCATGCTCCTGCACATTCTAATTCTGGCAGGAATGTTTAATAATTGAATTCCAGCAAGGAAAAATGCAAAGCTGGAAGGATTTTTCCAGTCCGTATTAAGATGCATGCAATATATCTTAAGAAATTAATAAAAATAGGTTATAGAGAAAATGTTCTTTCACCGATTCTATAAATAGAAGCGCCATATTAGGAAGGATTGGATATCGTTTTCATAGATAAAATAACAATAGGAAATAAGATTTGTACAGAAAAGCATAAAAGATGTAAAAGAAGTGGGGAATGATGCATACCAAGAAACCTTGTTGATCAGGGAACGCAGCAAGGCACCTTGTCTGATACTTTAATGGTGAAACAATTCTCTTGAATTCAACCTGTTGTAAATGAACAATGAACAAAATTGAAAGCATTAAAAAAATGATCAAATGAACAAATAATGACCAACTGGCCATACATAAGTGAACAAGTCAAACTAATAATAGCATGTTGAATGCCACTAGGGAGAATATGGAATAGAATGCAAGACTCCAACAAACTTGAATTCAACTAACAAATCGATAATGTTACCACAAAAAAAAGACTTATTTCTTAATGCCATATATTTAAATCTGTTTCTAATTTTAAAATTTAGGTTTGGAAATTTGGATGACGCCAATCTTACTCACTTATTGTGTTTTGGATTTGAGTTTTTTACAGAAATATTGGTGTTTTTCTTTGGCAGCAACTTTAGAGAGCTTTTGAAAAGAAAGAGAAAAAAAAAACACTTTTAATCATTTCTCAAAAAGGCTTGCTAGATAAACTCATTCCCTCTTTTTACTATTTTCCAAAGCTTGTTTAGCAACTATACCTACATCTCAGAGCACTTCCTCACTAGAAGTGAGGCAAGTCAATCTTAGGTCACTTGACGACATTGGCAAAAGAATTTCTGAAGAGTACGAAATAGGTCTAACTGCATCTGTTCTGTGATATTTGTCTTTAACATATTTGTAGATCCAAGTTTCTTACTTGACCTATGTTTTGATGTAAAATATAAACGCTTAATGCTCATTTTTTTATGGTCGAGAATCTCCTATTTTAGGGGAGGCGCTTTCCAACTTCCTATAATACTATGTAGAGGTGGCAATGAAATCCATTTAGATAATATCCATCCAATAATTTATCCATCCATAGACAAAGAATAATTTAATGGATTTGATCCAATCCATCCACTAACTCATATGGATGGATTCAATCCATCCATCTCATTTTATAAATCCATTGGATATTATGTTGTCACTTATTAAATTAAGAATTTTTAAATTAATTTTTTGGATGGATGGATATCCATCCATTAGAAATATGTTAATGGATGGATTGGATGGATTTTATCTTTTAATGGATGGATTGGATTGGATTTTTATTAAGAAAGTTTAGTGGATTGTTAATGGATTAATGGATTACTTTGATTCATCCATTAACAATCCATATCCATCCAATTCATCCATTTTGCCACCCCTAATACTATGGCATTTGACTGTGGTACTATGACATTCACTGAGGTTACAATATTAAATGAGTGAATACTTGCATTTAATGCCAATTGGGTTAGGATGTCCAACCCCAAACTTATAACAAGCCCTGAAATGTCTCTTTTCTTTCTTTTGGAAGATGCAATATCCTTACGAAATTCCTTTCTCCCTAAAAGAGTTACTCTTGTATCATCTTATATGCAAGAAAAAGAAACAGCCTTTTATGAAATCAGGAGATAAAACATCCCTAACGTCACAAGTTAATTACATGACTGAAAGGAAATACAAATAATAGAAAATATGATCAACTAGCGACACACAGTGTTACCTGAGGATTTTGCAAGTTGTAAACAATAAGATTTCTATCAGCAGTGGCTACTACCATCAGAGGATGTTTCACTGTCATTGCATAGCAGCGCTCTGGAAGCTGTTGCGTGTGCACTGGATTTGACTGCCTTGTATCCCAATACCTAAAAGTGGCCAAGAAAAGTCATGTGGAGGAAGAAAACCTCAGATAAAGTAAAATAGTAAGATCCATAACATATCTAATCAGAAAGATGCAAATCGCAATACATGTCAACACCACTAGCTAAATGCCAAAGCATGCACTGTAATACATGTGAAGGTAATTAAAAATTCTTAAGAGAAGTGAATGCAAGTACATTACCTTATAGTCTTGTCCCAGCTTCCTGTGGCTAAAAGGTTCATCTCAGGAATCCAAGCAATATCTTTTATGGGCATGTCGTGCATGGCTACAGTAATTGGTTGTCCTCCAGACATCAAGGGCCACATTTTCACTTGCTTGTCACATCCACCAGAGAAGACAGTCGTGCCATCATCCTTCCAAGCAGAGCACAAAACCTATGCAAAAAGATATGCACTATGAACTGATGATAAATAGACTACTATAACAGAATACTGTTTCTGATGGAACACCAATCGGAAATAGAAGATAATAGAATTGAATTGAATCACACCAATTTACAAAAACTAAAGCAATCTCTTTTTTCCCTGAGTTCAAAAAGTCCTAGAAATTATCTCTGTTCATAAAACTGCCCAACAAAAAATCTAACTGCCCCCTAACAGTCACAACATGAAAAACAAATATATAGTGTGGTAGCCAGGTAGATAAAGTCTCCGGTTGTTCAGATGTAAAACAATGCAAATATGCTTCCAAGTTCCAAGAAACTATTTACAATTTCAGTTTGAAGATCTATTTGCAGTTGATATAAAGAGGACATTTTTAAAAATATAACCTATAATTGAAATACTGCCTTCAAAAAATGACCAACAAATAGTGTACGGTCATTTGCTCAAAATGGATTTTAGAACCCTATGCAACTGAAAAAACTTTTTTAATAGATATGGCAGCCACACTTTGTGCTCTACCCAGATGTTCCAATGGAATAAGTGTTCATAACCATCTGTAGTTTTTTTTTGTTTTTTATTATAATTTGACCGTTACATGTATGGGAACACCGATGTACCCTTTGAAGAAGGTTACACACCTTAGAATCCTGTTCAAACTAAGAAATTACGAAAATGCATGTAGTGCTACTGTTACATTACATTAATTTAAACTAAGTAATTATTCCATAAACTGCCACGTAATATTTTTTAAATTTATAACTAAATACCAATATAGCGATTACTAAAACTGAGTTATAAATTCCTAGAATAGACTTTCTAGATGAAGGATTTTGTAGACCTAGACTCAAAAAACATTAAGCAAATGAACAAGATCACGAAAACCAATAGTTTGAAATTTAACACTATCAATCAATTGATCTACATAATCAACTAAACAGTCTTTACATCTTAATATGCCAATATTCATCCGTTGTATCAATCTCCACAAAACATGGAAATAAAAGAGCAGAAATAGCAACAAAAAAAATCCAATCCCAAAATCATAGCCAAAGCACAAAAACACACATACACACTACATAGATACAAATATCTTAACATGAAAAAATAGAAACGGTAAAAAGCTGAACAAATGAGAGGATCACGGAAATACACTCTGTAGCACAGACATATTTGAAAAAGTGTGACCATGTCAATGTCAATGTCTGTGTCTGAAAACAACACCGACACATGTGATTACATTTAACTTATTCATTTTTTTCAAATTATTATCGGTGTCGACAGATGTGTCAGTATCATGTTTCTGGAGTCAATGCTTCATAGGAAATATATCATCACCAAACAAAGTCATGAACATGTTAATGCTAATTAGATAACAAAACTTAAATACTTTACCGGCTGATCATGCGCTATAGAAGCCTTAGGCATAGTTGCAACATTCGCTCCATCACGTGCTACCTCCCAGCACCGAATCTACAAGAGAACTCAAAAACAGTTCATAAGCTTCCATAAGTAACGGAAAATTCAATTGCATTGTATTATAGAAGAAGTAAATACCTGATTATCCCACGAAGTTGCAACGAGTAAGTTTGATTTTGGACTGAAATTGAGACTGGAAACAGAATCAGTTGGAGGCTGATTCACCTACAAATATGGAGAAAGCAATGGTGAGAATGAGAAGCGAGAGAAGGATGATGAAGGAGTAAATTGAGATACCTCGATTGATTTGTTAGGGTTTGGATTGGTGTTGGACAAGAAATTCGACATTGGAGAGAACAGTGAAATTTTCGTTGGAGAGAGAAGAAAGAAGAAGAAGAAATTGGAGGGAGCAAAGAAAGAAAGGTTTTGTCTGAGTGTGGGCAGGTGTAGGTATTCAATCATACGACCCAGCGTTATTACCACGCTTGCTTCGGATTTTGTTCTTCTCTTCTATTTCTATTTTCTAAATTTTAAATTTAAATAATATAATTTTGATCCTTCTATTTAAAAATAAAATTGATCACTTTTTTTCTAATATTAAATATTTTTGTTGATGTAATAGCGCCTATATTAATAGATTTAATTAACATTGGGTAAAAAAGCGTGCGGGTTTGATTAAGATGTATTTAAATTTTTTATGAAAAATAAAATAATTATTTTTATTTGCTTAGTAATATGCAATTTAAAAAAAAAAAGTGTATATGATTTAAATTGTATGTGATCTAAATAGTATGTGACTTAAAACAATTTTTATTTGTTTAGTAATATACAATTTTTTAAGTTTTTCAAGTTTAAATACAACAAATAAATCTTGCTCCAATCATAAAAGTAGAGCAACATTTGAAAGAGATACCTAAAACATGTCATTTCCAATCAACAACTTTCGCATTGTGAACCACATCTCGTAGATTCGCTATGTCTAATTTAAATAAGCCTTGCTATTACATGTTGGAAACCATAAAAACATAAAATTAAAGTCTTATAGTAAGAAAAATAGAGTCTCTTCCCATCCTTTGATCTTGTTAGGTGCTATGCGTTCTCACTAAAATACTCCTTTGATTTTTGAAATGTATTTTTAGATGTATTTTTTTTTAATTTTTTAATTAATTCCGTAGATGTATATACGAAATATTTTCGTAAGCGAATTTACGAAAGAAAACTAAAAATGGAATACCAAAAAATCAACATTGTAACGATAAAATCAACATTCATAAAATAAAATAGGCGTTACATTGATGATTTCGACAGAAATTTAAATACTACATTTCAATAGTCTGGTGGACGCTTGCACATCTCTAAGATGTCATCGACCGTTTTTCGGACCGTCACCTCCAACTCGAGCGGAACTTTCTCTTCGAAACCGAAATACGTTCACCACATCGCCCTAACATCGTCTTGATTCTTGAGCTCAAACTTGTTGTAAACAATGTTCCCTTCGTTGTCAATTGAAGGTGAACGATACTCAAGCTTCACAACCTTTCGTTTGTCATTGTAAGGTATGCGATATTGGATCTCGTCTATGATATCGGCAAGGGGGTGAGATCCATGAGCTTGAACGTCCTCCCGGGTGTTTTGTCGTCAGAAAAGAAGACACTTGCGACATACCAACAAATCTTGATTTCACACAATTGAGATATTTTTGTATTTGTGTGAAAGATAACAAATGAAACCCCAATTTTATAGAAAACCTAGGTGAATATGGACCAACCATTTTTTGTCAAACTTTTTACCGGAGTTATATCCACGAAACGACCCTATAATTATTGGTTTTTGAGGTGTATCTCCGGAACTTTCCCTGAATTTAAAACGAATCAAAACAAGTGTCGTCGGTTAAATCTATTGGCGGTACCCCTTTGAACTTTTTTGCATTCGATTCATTTTCAATGTTGTTCAATCTTTCGAATTTGTGCATCCTTTCAACAAAACGATTCGGCCACGTCTCGGTATTTGTGGTTGAATGAGTCACGCATTCAGGTGATGTAGGTGGTATGGGGCATCCCGATTTCAACTAAACTTGTACAAAATGTCTTGATTTTACAAGCCATTCAATACACATGATGTGATCATTTGGATTTTGAGGTGGTGTGGTGCAGAGTGGAAAAAAGGTTTTCGAAAACCCATATCAGGGAAGGTCATCCATTTTGACACCAGTGTCGGACCACTCAAGCAAGGAACAAGAGATTCATAAACTGCATCAAATTTTTATTTCTTTCCATACAACCGTGCGTACCATTCTTTATGCATCTTCAACTCTTGGATTAGTTGATGACGGAGAAGCGCATGATTGTTCTCTCCTTTACCAAGCAAAGCTGAAACAGATCGGTAATCGCAATTACCATCCCCTTCAACATTGACGATATGGTCGATGTATTTGTGCATAAAAATCGACATCTCGTCGATGAATGAAATTTTTGGTAGAATCGGAGTCGGAGGCAGTTTGCTTATACAGGCTCCTTTTATGACACTTATTTTAGATTTAGGAGTCGGTGAGTTGAGATAAAGTTTGTCAACGTGCTCACAATAAGAAGAAGGTTGTGCAGTCAAGTTGTCATTCGGTGTAGGCTTCATTTTCTTCTAAGCACCTTTTATCTTTATCGGTTGAGAAGGTGGTTTTATGTCGGTTGTTTCGGGATAGGCAATCTTCCTCAATTGTTCTTTGATGTGAAGTTTCATGTTGTCATCGACCTTTAAGAATCCCTCTTGTATTGCTTCCCGTTCGGTCAAAATAGATATATTCGGTTTACCTCCTTCCATGCAATCGTCATCATCAAAACTAAGTATTTTCCAATGAGGTCAAACTTCGTCCATTCTTATTGACTCACCTAGTTTTAACTTTTTAGCAATAACACAAGCACATGGAAGACCAGAGGTTTTCACAATAGTGCAACCAAACTTTGCGCTATCGAAACCTACAGTTTCAGCTTGTTTGGCCTCATGAAAAATATAGTTCAACCCCAGCCAAGACATATTTCCAATCAATTGAGAATAAAGAATGTTGTCTTTAAATTGATGTTCCAATATTGTTATACTCTGACCAAATATTGTTTGTATCTCATTATGTTTGTTTTTAATCATGAGATTTACGGAGTCTTAATCTCGACACAAATCCCCCTTACTATTGCCCAACCAATTTTTCAGACTAGCATGGGCCGACTCAACTTTGTTGGTAGTTGTATTTCCAAGGTGTCGGACATTATCAATCCATGCACAGACTATTTTCTCCTTCACCCGATCAAGAATGGTGTTTTCAACGTATTTCAATAAAGCAGGATACTTTTCACACACTTTCTGAAATTGAATGACGGAATCGGCGTATAGTTCTTTTATGGAAGAATTTAGTATATGATTTCATGCATCCATTATTTTTTCAACAATCACACCGGCCTTCACCAATTTTCCACTGAATTTTACTTGTTTCGCCCCCACCGCGGGTTCAACCCGACCTCTCACATTCTTTGTGATAACTTTTCGGTATTTGATGTAGGATCCTTGTTTTACTTTCCTAAAATTTACTAAGTGTAAAATGCGGAAAGTAAAGAGACACGACGACGTATCTTGGTTCTCCTTACAATCCGAGAGTACTCCAGTCCCCTTTCAACACAAAAGAGATTTTTCAGTAATTGTTAAGATCCTAAAAGAAGACTTATACCTAGTCTTTCTATACAGATTCTAAACAATCAAACCACTAAGAACAAACTCTTGGATTTTTCAACTAAGTCCAATGAGAATAATCCTCTCAATATAGACCTCTTGCTTCCAACAATCCTGGACAGCAAGGTAACAACCTTACAAACTTAATTCCAAAAATCCTGGAAGACTAAGTATGTAATCAAATAGTAAATGAATAAAATTTGTTTTGAGTAGTTTTGCAATTGTCTTCAAAATATCAATCTTCTGATCGCTCTTCTTCTTTGATATTCCAACTCTTATATATCTTAACAAGTGTTCAAGAGGTAAATGAGTGAAACTATGATGAATTTATGAAAGTTTAAATATGCGAGTTTCACTTTGAAAAATGAGAATTTTAACACTTGTGAAAATTTGAGAATGAGAGATGAAAAATATATTTGAAATTTTTACAAGAATGTGAATTTAAAATCTAAGTTTATATATATATATATATATATATATATATATATATATATATATATATATATATATATATATATATATATATATATATATATATATATATATATATATATATATATATATATATATATATATATATATATATATATATATATATATATATATATATATATATATATATATATATATATATATATATATATATATATACCTCTAAAAACCTTTTCAAAAGAGACATAATGGTCAAGAGATGTCATGATTCAAGAAGAAGAATGAAAACAATTTTATGCCAAAAGATGCAACTTTCTAGCCTGCAGTGCCAGTGGTAATCGGTTACCATAAGTGGGTAACCGGTTACCAGCCTCAATGACTAAAAAAAGTTGAAAGTTTTTAAAGGGTAATCGGTTACCAGGTTTGAGTAATCGGTTACTCTGTTCAATTTTTTAGAAAATCAGTTTTGAAAAAAGGCAGAAGTGCAAAGAAAAGTTTTAAAAAAGATTTTATCATGAGATGTAAGAAATAGAGATGAAGTTGAACACTTGTTTAAGGTATATAGTAGCTTAAACGTAGTACCTTCCTTTGTGCAGAACTTGTCTTCATGCTTGATCAAGTTTAGACCATAATGATATGAAATTGAGTTGTGTTGCGGTGAAATTTGGATGTCAAGCTATTGATTAACTTGAATCTTAATTCATTTACAACCGGTCTTTGATTTATCCGAAGGAAAGGTTAAAGAAAGGAAAAACCTAAAAGGGAGAGATCTAAGGTTCGGGGGTTGGTTAAATTTAGGGAAGGTATTAGCACCCTAAACTTCCGTAGTACTCTACGGGAACCTTTTGTTTATTTTTTTTATTTATTTCATTAATTATTTTGCTTTAGGGTATATACAAAGGATTGAAAATTAAAAAAGACCTAGGGGTTAATTCTAAGTTTACTCGGCAAGACATCGCATCTTGTGCCTACATATCCTTACGGGAATGGAATCAGAGTAACTGTAGTTCCCCTCAAAAGGGAGGTTAAAGAACACTCGACTGTGGTCAAGGTCTCAAGGGGAATAAACGCATCTTAAGGACACGCTTACATGGAGTCTTAAACTCCGATCTCTACGTTATGAATTGTTAAGTTGTAATTAGGGTTAAATTAGGGATTCCACTGCGGGAAACCCTAAAATGAGCGCGGCGGCTCTTTGACCTAAT